GGATTTTGACGTTGCATGGATCTGAACATATCGCAAGCAGTAAGAACTATACCCCGCCCCACCCCACTGCCACTCCTACCACCCCTACCACCACCTCCACCACCTCCACCACCTATTTCTGGAGCTATAAGTCTCAACTCCTTACAAGGGGGTTATGTAGGGGAGTCTGTAGGGCAGTACAAGGGGGATAGCAGCTGGGCACCTGAAAGCTATTTCCGTCCATGGAGGCATCCAGGGCCAGGCTGAACTCGGGAGGAGCTGCGGGAGGAGCCGTGGCTGGCACCTGGCCAAGACCGCTTGAGAGCGTATACTTGGGAGGTCAGGGGGACTTAGGAATAATGGAAAAGATAATGGAAGCTACTATGTTATTTAGGGTTTAGGGTTTAGGGTTTAGGGTCAGGGGACTTAGTAAGTGGGTTAATAACCCCTATAACCCATATAGTAACCCTAGCTATCCTGATTAGTAACCCACTTACTAAGTCCCAATGGCCCTTCAAGTAGGGCCTTTATGGTTTAAGGATTTGAGGGAGCTTGAGTGTTGAGGGTTTAGGATTCAGCGGCTTAGGATTTGAGAGGGTTTTGGGGTGTATATACCCTACAGTAGTTTCCATTTCATTTTCAAGTTGATTCTCCATTATCCCCATATAACCCCAATATAACCCGATATATTGGTAGGGCTTTGAAGGCTTTGGGTCTGCATTTCACAGGATCATGGGCTCCTGGTGGCGGGTCCACCTCTATTCAGGCTCCAACTACTGATCCTCCAAATGTTGAGGGGGAGTAAATGCACCGGTATCTAACAGAACAGAAAGCTTTGTCGCCAGAGATTTATCGGCACCAGTAATTCTTCAACAGCCACTGGATCAATTGCCACTACGGGGGGATTACCTACGATGTCCAGGCGTACGGCCCCTGCTACTACGATTCCTGTCGTCCATGCACACGTCAAGAACACCTCTACTCGTGAGTTTCTGGCACCCATGCCCACAAAACATTGACCTTGCAACGAGGAACCACAAAGAGCGACACCGTAACATATATTGTACTATAGTTTAAAGAGCGACACCGTAACATAAAATGTACTATGGTTTGTATTGTATTCTTTACTCTTTGTTGTACTGAAGACTCATGACCCACATCTCAAACCCTACACTCCACACCCTTCACGCTGAGCCCTATACCCTAAATCGGCCTAGACCCCTAACCCTGTGACTTACACTCTTTTTGAGCCATGGTCTAAACTGCCAGTATCCCCCTGAATAACCCCAAAATGCTCCCCCATACAATCCCCTGCAGAACCCCCTTCAAGGAGTTCAGACTATAACCCATTTGGTAGTTTCCATTTTCTTTTCCATTATCCCTATAATAACCCCCTTTAGCCCCTATAATCCTAATATATTCTCTAAACCCTAAACCCTAAACCCTAAACTCATGACCTCGGTTCCGAGGCCACCAAGCAAATCCTGACAGCAGAGGATTGGCCCAGGAGCGCCCAGATCAGGTTTTAGGGCTCAGTGCTTCGTGCTTAGGATTTAGGGTTTAGGGAGTGCGGTTTGGGACTTAGGGCTTAGGGCTTGGGATTTAATTTTCGTGGTTGCAGACAAACTCAACATGACGAGGACGCAAAGAATCAAAGGTTAAAACCATGGGCCCCTAATATGGGCCCTTAACCCTGGGATCCTTAGATACCTACTATATACCCTATATGTACCCTTAAGGGTCCCTAGAATCCCCCTAAAAGGCCTAAGGGCCTATATTAGGGGCCCATACTTCCAACCTGAGAGAGAAAGGTAACAGCAATGACACATTATGATTGTCTAGTGGTGCGAATGTAGTCAGCTGAGGGCAGCAAAGCCTGCCGAGGCTCTGGCAATCGAACATGGGGTTTAGGGTTTAGGGTTTAGGGTTCAGGGTTTAGGGTTTAGGGTATATGAGCTCCTCAAAGGGGGTTATATAGGGGAATATATTAGGATCATAGGGGTTAAAGGGGGTTATTATAGGGATAATGGAAAAGAAAATGGAAACTACCAAATGGGTTATAGTCTGAACTCCTTGATTGCCCTTCAGCTTTGAACACCCGCATACATCAAGATTGAACTGGGGGGCTTCAACCCAATTGCGGAAAGAAAACCATCCTGCTCGATGAGCACGTAGCATAATTCCACGCAAGCAAAGCCTAGCACTTCCAGAGTTGTCACCGCATGGAGGGAAGTTTCTCAAACAGAAAGAACCAAAAGGCATCAAAAGGTACCCCCCAAATGATGAGGACTTCCTGAACAAACACAACAGATAGCAGCACAACAAAAGAACCTCAACTCTCCATGCTAAACACACCAAAGGGCCTCCATGCCCAGCAGATCCCCACCGCTGCTCGGCGAGGAGCTAGGCGCCACCTCGCTTGCGGTCCAGGTGATCTGTCCACAGCACACCCACATAAGCTGGCGATAATTTCTGAAGAAAGGGACCCGTTGGCACCCCAAAATACTGAATGCCGTGCTAGACCAGGCATCCAAAAGGGGGCCCTTGATTTGGAGAGCGAAGGAATCTCCATCTTGCATAAAGAAAGATTGCAAAAGCACTTGTCTGCACGAACCATGGACAATAATCTCCCAGTTCCATGTCTTGCACGAGCTCAACTTGCTTGGTCCAGCCCCTCCGCCTGAATAGGGGCTGCAGGTGCATCGTCTAGCAGTCCTGACAGGTTTCACCCTTCCAAGTTGAGCTGAACAAATCAGTCTCGCAAAAATGCTCAGGGAAATAAATGTGGCGCAGGAAAATAGAGGATTAGCGTTGTCCAGATGTTTCCACAGGCACCCCTCAGCAAGATGAGCACAACCGCAAAGCCTAAATGATTCCGGCAAACCCCCCTCATCTGGCGCCAACAGCGCCGTGCAGGTCCCTGTCACTATAGGGTTTGAGGCTGCTTATATTGGGGTTATACAGGGGTTATATTGGGGTTATATAGGGGTTATACATGGGTTATATAAGGGTTATAATGGGATAATGGAAAATAAAATGGAACCTACTATTTAGGGTTTAGGCTTTAGGATCCTCCTCCGAGAAGGTCTGCTGACTCTGCAGGCGTCGGTGAGTCGAAGCCAGGCAGCATAGGCTGGCACAGGGGGCGTGCTGTAGCGTCACACTCCAACAGCCCTGGACTGACATTTTGTCTAATGGTTTCCATTTTATTTTCCATTTTCCCAATATAACCCCAATATAGCAGCTATATAAATAAACCTGACAAGCCTTAAACAAACATCTCGACCATGCTTTCGCACATAGCCACAAGTTCACCTTTTACATGAGCTATAGTCTAAACTCCCAGTATCCCCCTTAATAACCCCTATAGTAGTCCCATATATAATCCCCTATATAACCCCCCTTTAAGGAGTTTAGACTATAGCTCACATTAGATTCCAAAAAAAGCGCTGCTCTCACCAGCCTCCGAAGGGGCGCTCGTTTGCCCATTCACCCCCTCGGTCGTTCACCCTAGAAGAAGGCATCAAGAAAGGCATTACAAGAAGCTCGCTCAGAGAAATGCTATCACTTCTTCTCTGGCAACCCAATGCCCCCAAGTCTGGCATGCAGCGCCAATAACTATTAGAAACACTATTATGATTACTATTACTAGTAGTATTTTCACTATTCTTACTATGATCTAACACTATTATGGTTGCTAGTACTAGTATTATTATCACTATTCTTACTATGACTATTATGATATTTTTACTCTTTATATCAGTTTGTTTGTTGCCTTTCTGGTGTTCAGTCGTGAAGCCCTCCTGCACTCCCAAGCTTCACTTGGCATCAGACCCTGGAGGGCTTCGTCGGGGTCGACGGCATCTCCATGCCCTGGTGAAGCTTTGGATATATAGGGATCAAAAGGTATAAGATATATAGGTATATATATATATGGGGATATATAGGGGTATAAGATATATAGGGATTTATAGGGGTATAATATAGGAATGCAAAAGAAAATGGACTCTGCTATTTAGTGTGTAGAGTTAGGTTTTTGAAGCGAAGGGATCTAAGGGCATTCGATGCCACGCTCAGCGAACCTCAGATGGAACCCACAAAGAGGTGCGCCGAACACAACTGTCCTTCAGAAGCAAGCCTGTGTGAGCCATGGTCTAAACTCCTAGATTCTGTCTTAATAAGCCCTAACTAGGAACCCTATACAGTCCCCCCATGTAACCTTTTAAGGAGTTTAGACTATAGCCTATGTGAGGTTCCATGTTTGTTTGTAAGGAATTGCAGGGTCGGGCTAAGGCCTCAGCCTATCAGTGGCTGAGGTCGACCGATTTAGGCTTCAGGGTTGTTTTGGGAGGGCTGTGTAATCAGTCAGAGTCTTTCTTTGTACATCCTGAAAATTGAGACGGGTAATGAAGCTCAGAAAAACTTCAAAGCCCGCCTCCGGTGGTGGCGGCGCCGGCATCTTTACCGCTACAAAGGGGCTTCCACTCACCTGCGGTCATGGACAAAGCTTTCCTCAAGGGACTCTTATGTAGTAGTTTCCCTAAATAAGGGGACCCTAATAAAGACCCCAATATACTATAGTCCTTATTATAGGGACCCCCGAAAAGTTCCCCCTAATTTTGGGAAACTCTTATGTAGTTAGATAGGGAAGGATGAATATAGAAACCCTAGAAACCCCTCTATTATCCTAGTTTCCATTTCGTGTTCCATGTTCTTTTCCATTTGATTTTCCGTTCTTGGGGGATCCTCTTTAAATGTTTGGTTCTAGCCGCAAGTCTAGCCTATAGCTCTGAACCAGCGACGGTTCCATGCTTGCTTTAGCTTGGGATCGGTGTCATTCACTGTTGCAAGGACTGAAGATGGACCGTCCTGGGATGCCTCTGAATACAAAAGCTGAGTGCCCAGGTTCATACGTAACTTCCCCACCAAGGCTCTGGAAAAGATACATCTCTGAGTTGAAACACCACATGTAAGGCAACCCTGCTTACCACCTTCAAGTTGCTAAGACTCTCCAGCGTGGCCTGGATGAATTTGGAGGCCGGCTGCTTGTAGACCGTGCTGAGCCTCAGGCTCAAGACTCAAATCACACCGTGCCTTTGCAGCGTCTCCCGGATCTCTTGGAGATATTTATGAGGGTGTTGAGTTTAGGGTTTAAGGTTCAGAAGTTCAGGGTCTTAAAGGCTTAGCGGTAACAGTCGTCAATGGCCTACTTACGTATCCACCAGCTTGCAGATTTCTACGGAGTCCTGACATTGTCAGATGTGCATAGACACCCACCGGTAGAAACGTATCATCAACTTGGTGAGTAGGCCTTCCATGCTTTTGGGCTTCACATGCGTCGCTGAGGGCCGTACGAGTTGAACTCGTCAAAGACTCTATCCCGCAGATCGACATCCATCTGAGGGTCGAGACAATGAAAACCATGCAATGATGGAGCGTATACCCCTCGCACGATACCGAAATGGTTTGCACAGGATGAATCTGAAAGGCATGCCCCACGCTCGTGCGACTTCTATAACTCTATACATACCCTCTGCATTCCCAATAGATACGTACATACACTATACAAAACTCATATGAGAATGCACAAAGTTTAGCTCCCAATAGTCCTTAAACGAACCCCCCTGAGCCTCTGAGAATTGTTAATCCCTACATATGTTAGGTCCTCAGGGCAACCCTGTTTTGAGGAAGAAACACCAATATGCTCTTTCACCTAAACCCTAAACCCTAAACCCCAATAAATTGGCCTCCTCCTGGAACTCGTCCACCACCTCCTTGGGCGCGCAGATCACGCGCCTCGCCTCCTCGGGGGAGACCTGGAGTAGCCTGACAAAAACCACCCAAAAAGTGGCGGACATGATGACCCTAGGGAAATTCTACAAGGATGCTACGAAGACCTGTGAGATTCGTAAGGGAAATTTTTGGGGCCTGCAGGGGTGGTTCTCAAACTCATGAGTTTGCCGGGGTCTCCATAGGGAGGTCTGTTTTGGAAGTCATGTAAGAAGACCCTGCTTGTAGAATGACTCAACCTGCAATTGAAAATACTCTCATTTGGAAAGATGGAAGAATCCAACGCAAATGACCCTGCAAAAATGCATTCATGAAACAGAGCTTCCTTATGACTATGCCTTCGTAGCACCGTAACATGACATGAGCCAGCTCCCGCAACATCCGCCTGTAGTACAGCAGAGCTCTATCTCGAACATCCGGATGAGTGCATTCCTGGATTGCCTGGCAGGCGGGACGAGTTTCCATTTTCTTTTCCATTATCCCAATATAACCCCAATATACTCTGGTAGTTTCCATTTTCTTTTCCATTATCCCAATATAACCCCAATATATACCCTATTACAACCCCAATGTATACCTCAAGGGCCCTTCTGCCTTCTGCAGCAGGCAGCCCAGCATTCTCTGCACTTCCGGAGGCCGGCAGAAGAAGAGCTTCACCTTAAAAACCGCCACAGGTACATTGGGACAATGGAAAAGAAAATGGAAACTACTACAGTACATTGGGGTTATATTGGGATAATGGAAAAGAAAATGAAAACAGGCAAATGCTCTTAGCCCGACAGTTGGATTGGAGGGACTGTCGCGTTGGCATTTAAGCCTTGAGACCCACAAGCACACATTGAAGAGGGGACTGCCATCCAACTCAGCAATAACCTAGCACACAACCACTCTCTCAGCGCCGTACTGCTGCAGTTAGCATCTCCAGCTGGACCACCCCAGATTCCTACCGCAGTCCACCACTTCCAGTGTCGTGGGTAGCAACTCCTACTAGTTGCTTTCATCATGAAGTTGGCATTCCAGAATTGCTATCAGCCCGTTGGCTTTCAGATCAGGCAACAATGGGTGGATGCGGGTCCGAATGCCTGTGGCGAGGGTGTGGACACCACCTCTACCCCTTGGCTTCAAAATGCCGCACTAATCAAGTTACAGCCAGTCAGACCTAAGATCTGTAAACTATGCTTCTGAAAGACGCTTCGGGAAGGAAATGATCGCAAAAAGAGCAAAGCACACATCACAAATCGTCATTCCACTTGATGTCTGGCCCTAAGCTGATGTAGAGTTTTCACAAAAACAATCTTGCAAGACAGTCCTTTGACTTCTTTTCACGAAAACAGGACCAACAGTATCTACAACAAAAGAAGCTTAGTGAGCTTCTAGCATTCCGGTAATCTGGCATGGCTTATGCGCATCGAACTCCTCCATGAAGCTGTCGATCATGGGCTCTAGCAAGTAGGGCGCATCCTCAACCGGTACATGCTGTGCTGGTGGAGAAAGTTATGAATTAGGAGGAGCCCCCATGGTAGGAATATACAGGACCCTAACATTACCTTTATGATCCCTTGTAGCCACTATTACAGGGTTGGAGGTCCACCTAAGTTATGAATCAAACCTCGCTCCTCAATGAGCAGGCCATACTCGCCGAGGATCCAGAGCAAAGCCTTAACAACAAATGATGAGCTGTAGTCTAAACTCCTAGTATCCCCCTTAACCTTAATAACCCTATAATACTCCCTATAAAAAAATTCCCTATATGACCCCCTTTTAAGGAGTTTAGACTATAGCTCACATGTCATATTCCCGGCGAGGGTGGGTAAATGCTTCTGAGCTTGGGACGCTCTTCCCATCAGGCTCCGTCACTATTCTCAGACACTTCCTTGGGCGGCTGTGAAGCTCAGGCGCTGCCTTCTGAAAGATGAACTATCCTATTTGTACTGGTGCTTAAGAGGGAGTGGGGTAATGAATATTGGGAGAATGGAAAAGAAAATGGAAACTACTATAGTACATTGGGGTTACCATGTAGTGGTATATATGATTATGAGGATTATGCACCAGTAAGACCAGGAAGTATCCGTGAAACACTTGGGCCCCCGGCTGAACTGCGCCGGAAGCCTGTTGGAACTGCTCGGGATACCTGGCATTCGAACTGTCTAGAGAGGCTCCATTGGCATTACCAGGAGAAAGGCTTGTGAAATGATTGTGACACGAATGCGCACTTCCTGACCAGGTCCTTCATCACTACCGCAGCTTCAGTGCAGACCTTCAGCTCCAGCACAATCACGATATCTACACACACAGGTAGCGAGACATGCGAGAGCAGGATAATGCTGGGGGTCCCAACATAGTCAATGTCCAGCTCCAGAAGGTTCGTCAACGAACTGACGATCATTTCGGAGGTGGAGGGAACATGCACCTTGAAAGGCCGCAGCAGACGGCTGAAGTTTAGCATTAATCGAACTTCAGTAATGCACAAACAAAGCAGAACGCTCAGACGAATCAGCAAAGAGAGACTTTAAGCTTAGGCTCGGCACTGCGATTTTGCCTATCGCTTGAATTGCTCTGCGAGCAATCTCTGCGTCCACATCAGTGACATACCTGGAAAGAGTTTAGAGCAGAACTTCGGTCCAAAGACGTCTCTCAGAGCCAGCTCGTCCACAACAGACGGGGTCTCTGAAAATAGGAGCGCTTGGGAACCTGATCACGTACGGGAAATACAGGGGATTCTGGAGTCTAGGGCCCCCTTAACTTGAGGTGACTCTCGGGGTAAAGTTGAGTCCTAAAAAACAATTGCAACGAAGCTCAACTCTAAGCACACCGCTCGCTAAGCTCCGTCACGACATGCTCAGCACCTGGGGCAAACTACGACTGCGGTCAGGGCCTAGTCTAAGAGAGGTGAGTTAGCATGTTGCTGCCAGTGCTCGACGAGACTCGCTTGCGCGGAAGACTCTGGTGACGCTCTCCCTGGCAGGGCCCGGACTGTTGAAGTCTGCCAGCATTGTGAGGATATCAATCTTCACCTGCTTGATGTACCTCAGGAAAAACCCAAAAAAACACGGCCTCCCTCAGCCACCTTCAATACGGAGTTCAATCAACGAATTTCAGTGTGTCTCTGCACTTTCTAGCGGGTACTTTGCTGCAGCTACCATTACACAAGCGCACGAAGGCTCGTTGTAGCGGCAGAAGAACTGCTTGAAGTCTCCGGCAAAGACCTTCACCGGCAATATAGTCACAAGCGTGCACAAGAGTTAAAAGGCCGACATACTGATGTCAAGTGGAAGAGAATTCCGCGACAACTCACAATGCCGTTCATGGAAAGATGTCCACCTGGCTCTTTTGATCAACTGAGAAAGCACCGTGCTTTTGCCCCTAGGCAAAAGGTGTCGCTTCAAAAGGACTGGGAACGTAGGGATGTAGGGCCATGTAGGGCTCTTCACCAAGGCCGGCCTAATCTCAAACTGGATAGTTCGGCCACGCGGTTCAGGGTTCAGAGTTTAGGGTTTCAGGCCTATATGCCTTCTAGTTCATCTCTGGAGCCGAACCAGCCGCAGCGCGCATGTGGCACTGAAACAAACTATGGGTGGTTGTCAAAATTATGGTCCCCTAAATATTAGGTGCCGTATTATAATAGGGACCCAAAAAGGGGACCATAATTTTGACAACCACCCCTATACACTCTCAGCATCGCCGCTGAGAAGGGAGGTGCTGAACAAAGTTCCAGCTGCGGACCCGTCCAGCAGCCGCATCACTGTGGCACCTTCGTCTCAAGATCCTTCCCCTTAAAACCCAATAGTAAGACTAGTAATAATAGTCATAGTAGCAATAACAAAAGAATAGTAGTCATAATAGTAAGAACAGTAAGAGTTATTCGAAAAGAGAATGGAAACTCCAACATCAATTTCAAACCTCTAAAGGACTACAGTCCCCCTCAAGTAGATAGAATATGGGGTATATTGGGATCTTATTATGATTTACCCAAAGCCATATTCCCTATATAACCCAAATATACTATAGTAGCTTCCATTTTCTTTTCCATTATTCGTATATTACGCCATATTCTATTTACGTAAGGGGGACTATACCCTAAACCGTAAACCCTAAATAGTAGTTTCCACTTTCTTTTCCATTATCCCAATATAACCCCCAATATTCTATATCTGCAGCCAATGCCACCACTCCCCAAAGCCGACGAGGCCCGGAAGAGTTTGGCGAGTGGCTCTTCCAGGAGGGCCCTGTGCTTTGACTGCTTGCAGCTTTGGGTTCAGTGGGGCCTCTACCTCGTCAATGTAGGCCCATGATTGATAAAGGGGTATATAGGGGCGTTCTAGGGATGATGGAAAAGAAAATGGAAACTACTATTTAGGGTTTAGGGTTTCGGGTTTAGGGTTTCAAACTCAAGCGCTGCCAGCCTTCAACTTTGCGGTCTTATGGGTCGTCGGCGCATCGGGATAACACTAAAAGCAAACTGCTGACAGCCCGAGGAACGCCACAAGAACTAGTGATACTAGCGTCGCGCTTTATGCTACATGTGCCCAGGTCTTGGGAACCCTAAACCCTAAAATCCTACACAATCCATACCCTTATTCCCAAATATCCAGCCTTTAAGGAGTTTAGACCATATAACTCATGTAGGCAATGAAATCAGTGTGGTGCAACAGCTTTCATTCTTCTTGAGGACGAGACTCTACAGACGAGCGGTCTTCGGATACGCCTGCGCCAAGTCAATCGAAGCTACGCTGATTTGGCTCTTTTCTTGTAGATCTGAGTAGACTACAACCCTTCTGGGAAAGCTTTTTCTCCAATGGATGCCATTTGGGGTCCTCATGGCCCTGATTGAGATCACTGCTACTCAACTCACCTGTGTCCGGTTCTTGTTGTCAAGATCGCACTGCCCCTAACCCTGCAAGCTGAACCACCTTGATGGCCGTACGAACTGCGAGGTCAGCCATGATTTCTTCGCTTCCGCCGTAGACCTAAGGACGCGGTTTGGGGTTCGGGGTTTTGAGGGTTTGAGGTTGAGGGAGGGCACTGATGAATGGAAAAGAAGGTAGAAACTATACCCACCCCCAAACACAACTAGAGGAATGGGAAAGAAAATCGGAACTGCTGCATCTTTTAGGGTTTAGGGCTGTGGTGCTTTGCAGGCCTGCATCTTTATGTGAGCTAACTGAAGGCCAGAACATAAACCCCCCACATTGAAACGTTCCAACCCTCAGCCAGACCCAAGAATCCTGCATCCCATATCTACGAAGAACAAAGCTGCAGCTCAGCCACAGCCGGGATCTTGTACATCCTCTCAGCAGGCATGTTCAAAGCAAGCAATGGACATGATACTGGGCACCCTACGGTATGTGCTGGCAAGACCTTCATGGGGGATTGTCAAAATTATGGTCCCTTTTTGGGTCCCTAGTATAATACGGGGCCTAATACGGGGCCTAATTTAGGGGACCCAAAAAGGGACCATAATTTTGACAATCCCCCTCATGACGTTTCTAGCTGGTGGTTCTTCTTACAGCGTCCTTGAGAAGACCTCCACAGCACGGCCCATGGCGCCCTGAGTCACGCCACGGCCTCCAAAGACCTCGTGCAGACGCTTTCGGCGGTTAGTCCAGGTACTTGCGTGAGGCGCCATTGATGGGTAGTTCCCAAAAATACGGTCCCACTTTGGTACCCCAAAATATGAGGTGCCGTAGTATAATCTATAAGCAAAAGAGGCCCATACTGTTGAGAACAACCCTGATGGACATGAAGAGCCTGCACGGCGTTGTCGCACACCATGTGATTCATGCGGGTGGTCTGATACCTTGGCCACAGTCTGTTTAGGTTTAGGGTTTAGAGATATTATCCCCCTATAATGGAGAATCAAATGGAAAATGAAATGGAAACTGGGGTGATTTAGGGATTTAAGGAGGCAAGCTCGCAGCGATGGCTTGAGGTTAGAAAATGACGGCAAGTCACACAGTTTACAAGCCAAGAACCCCTTTTCAAACTAACAACGGTCCGTAGAGGACCTTGAAAGGGACTCCATCCTCCTCATCAAATTCCTACACATCCCAACAAAATTTTCCAAGGGACCCTATGTTCTTTCAAGCCGGGTCATGCTGGCCCAAGATGCTTGAGGAGAGCGATGCGCGCTCCGATTTCAGGACCCTGGGTTCCCACATGGTTCATGTTGTAGGTGATGTCCCACCTCAATTGCTTTAGGGGTGAGGGTTTAGGGTTTAGGGTTCAAGAAGGTGATTCTGGCCGCGATGGCATGACCACTCTTGTTGCCGCTATGACTCTTGCCGCGATAACTCCGCATGCGAGCACCAGTCATTTTGTCATTCCCATCAGGGTCGCTTAAACATTTCTATGCAGAACTACTGCCACCAACGACTGGGATTCACAAATGCATCATACACGGCATGAAGTACCCAAGAGTCTGTATATACATAAATCAAGCCTGCGTGGAATCTAACCTACACATGTCTGTGGGGACAACATACGAACATGCATGATACTCACCCATATTAAACATACGCATGTGCAACAAAGGTGGCTGGAATTGTTGAAATTCCTGCTAATGTCATTTCTCTCAAAGGACTTTTCCCTCAATGCTGATCCTTTCCTTCAAGCACTGCATTAAAGCTGCATCCATGCAGCTGCAAGTTTCCTGCGTTGAGTTATGTATGGCCATGGCACAGCATCTGTGTGCACGTCTCAATACCCGCGAACATCTGCGCCAGCTTCCTGGGAAGAAAACAAAGAACCCCACGCCCTATGCCATTGACTGCTGAGCTGGCCGGCAGAAAATTTGAGCGGTAGTGCGCTCAACAATGCTTGCGGCTTGTCAGCTTCGAGAAACACCACTACAAACCTGGACGCATGTGTTAGTCACATTCGGACATCAGTCGATGAGGTCTCGAAGGAATTCCCTTGATGTTTTATTGCATTTTCAAACGAACCACGCCTGCCGCCCAAAACCTGCAGCTGCATCATCAAAAGGTGTGGGCACAACTCAAGCCGCTCGCTCTCGGCAGAATTGGAAAACCCGCCCTGCCTGTACACTAGAAATTTGCTTGCTCATTGCAGGCCGCGGTACTCACGGATCACAGCCTGCTCGATGAGAGGCTTTCCGAAAACCTAGCGATGCGTGCAGCTGTTCGAAAACGACTGCCACTAAAACTATTGATTACTGCGCTTAATACATGCATATCAACAAACGTTTCCAGTTGTCGTGTTATCCGAAATCGCCAGTTCATTGAGTAGGAATAACTCGCTTTCTACAAGCGTCGATACTATTTCCTGTCTGAGTTCGAGTACTCATGTCATGCTGGCCATAGCTAGCAGTAACACTGGCCTAAATGTTCCTAGGTCGAAGCGAGGGTCATGGAAACTGTTTTCAGGTAGTTTCTTTGGCGGTTTGGGATGATTCCACTTGTAACCACGCAACCAATTTGGGATAGTTAGCAAACCTACAACCACCCTGACATGTGCAGAACTCAGCATTAGAGCCTTGCGCTGCATCGCCCACTTGAAAGTCTCCTCAGTGGCAGTCCGCGCCCTCGCAATGCACACCACTGTGATCATCCATCCTCACTCAACCAGGCGGATGGTTCCCAAAACTTGCCTACGCCTAAAGACTTTTGGAACTTGGGAACTCATAGGCGTGGTCCTTGTGGACTTATTGGACTGCGGTTAACAACTCCCGTGGGTAGGAGTCTTGAAGATGTTTCAGGCGCAGCTACTGCATTGTGGGCGCGACAGTCATATGCGAGAGCTAGACAGCAAAAAGAGCCGCCTGTACAGACTCCACGCTCGGACCTAGATAGGCATAACGATCTTGAGCTGTTATAGACTGGGTACCACAATTCTGATATACTTGCAAGTGCTGGGGCAAACTGTTTCCAATATAGATGTAGCACCACCGGCCCCAGTTCTTTAAAGTTGTGTTTTCCCGACTGCTGTGCCCCCTCGGCAGTGTAGCACCAACTTCTGAATCTTTTCGTGACATGAGGTTCCAAGCGTGCCTGAGCCTCAGCACAGTCCGGGGTTACTTTTAATCGACTAACATACGGCCCGGAGGAACTCATATCATGCAAGACCAAGGATCGCTCGTGGTTGAAATTGGACATGATGATCTGGAAGCCCTGCTACACATTGCAACAGCAAGTGCAATCAAAAGTTGGGTGGATTCCTACAGGACATAGGCTGGAAGTTTGGAGGCTCAGTGCTGAAACTTCAACAACAAGAACCGCAAAGCCACATGGACTGTCTTCACAGAAAGCAGGCCTTGTTCTCACCCTTGATCATATACTTCTTAGGCACGATGCAGTTCTCATAGGTCACGTACGCAGTGCCAGCTGAGCTGGAGTACTTGGTCTTCATGACCCTGAGCCGGTCATGTCTCTGCAAGGCAGCCCAGCCCTTCAAGCCACAATACCGTCCCGGTTATTTTGGGGTTATGTTGGTTTAATGGAAAAGAAAATGGAAACTACTATAATAGGGTATATATTAGGGTTATATTAGGGTTATTTTGGGGTTATGTTGGGATAATGGAAAATACAATGGAAACTACTATTTAGTAGTAGTTTCCATTTTGTTTTCCATTATCCCAATATAACTCCAATAGGGTTTAGGGCTTATGTCCCAAATTAAGGGTACTTTGCTATAACTGCAGCTAGTATACTGAGGAACCATGTTAACATGTTACATGAATTCTAAGGTCTGCGTATTGGCCGTCACTCGCCATGAGCACCATCCAGACAGGTACTAAGTCACTAAACATGCCATAGCTGTCAGCATGCGAAAGTCAACCACTGCCCGCCCAGGCTGCCAGTGAGTTCCCCTGCACATCCGCAACAACTTGTTTCAGCTATTGTCATGCTAGTAGTAATATTAAAAGAAAAATAGCAATGATAGTGAGAGCAGCTGATAGCAGTAGTAACAGTGCTATGTCCAAAAGATTCAGCTTCCATCGCTTGGAGGCTGAGGCTCGTCGTTTGCACGGCATCGGAGCGGGGGATCAACATCATGGAGACACCCCCGGCTCCGGCTTTGCCGGTACGTACGGCTGTCACGAACCAGTCCGCGTACATGCCACCTGCAAATGTCTTTTGTGAAAGTCCACAGTCACAACTAGAATTTGCCAAACCAAACGAAAAACATTGGCTCACCTGTGATCCACTTCTTAGTGCCGTTCACGATGTAGTTCTCACCCGAGGCGTCCAGCACAGCTGTTGTCCGGAGCCCAGCCACATCAGAACCGGCGAAGGCCTAGAGCGGGTACTAGTGAGTGCAGATGTGGGCATTTTCCATAGATGACAAACTTCCCTGCTGGTTTACGCCCTTTGGCTGATCGCACGATCCCGTTGGAACTGAGTTCCGGCGCCTCAGTGATGGCCAATACGACCGTCTCCTCTCCCTTGACGATTTTGGGAACCACCTGTGCGTGAGCAGGGAGGCAGTCCAGTCGGCTTGGGAGGCATGGCATGCCCATGCACTTGAGATGGGACAACCAAGTACGCGTGCCAAAGGCAAGCACGACGTGCTTGGTTTGGACTTCAGATAAGAAGCCATAAGACTCTTGGTGGGCAGACCCTCATGTGAAAGCAGCTGCTATCAAACAACATAAAGGCTTGAGAACAGGCATCACATGGGACCATGTGCAACAATGGGGCTTCCGCTTTAAAACTGTGACCTCAGCAGCCTGGAAAACATGATAGAGAGAACCCTATATTGAGAATCACTACCCCAGAATAACCACTATATATTGGGTACTGCCTCCACCAAACTATATATACCCAATTATAAAATAGTCATTCATTCGTTCATCACGCTGCTCCACGGTCTGGAGCTGAGGGTTGCCCAGCCTATATACAACTGCTACTGCTATGGGAAATTAATGTAACATAGTAGTTTCCATGTTCTTCTCCATTACCCTTAATGGAGAGAAGTCTATTTTTGAGAGTCACCACCCATAAACAAGCCTATATATACCCTATTACAACACAGTAGCTTCCATTTTCTGATTTCTTTTCTATGACACCCAATATAACCCCAATATATACCCCATTATAACCCTAATGTATACCCTATTATAGTAGTTTCTATTTTATTTTCCATTACCCCTATATCACTCCAATATACTACAGCAGTTTCCATTTTCTTTTCCATTATCCCAACCCTAAACCCTAAACCCTAATATAACACCCATATATTCCCAAAATCCTCCAGAACCGTAGCGAGCCTCCTGCTTCATCCAGTCCGAGCCATACTTCAGCAGAACCTGGCTGCGAAAATCCTCTAAGTTTAGGGTTCAGGGTTTAGGGTAAAGGGTTTAGGGCCTTAGGCCTGGGGACAGCAGCCGTGTCCCCCCTAATATTAAATATTGCCATTATGTGGTATATTGCGGGGGCGGGTACCTAACCATCATCCTGTCAGCGCCCATTCTCAAGACAATTGATGACGGGCTCACCGGCAGCCCAATGGAGACTGCACCATCCAGGCCGTCCTGCACAACTTTGTAGCCAAGCAAATTCCCTGAATAGCCCCTATGGTACTCCCCGATATAATCCTCTACATAACCCCCACTTTAACGAGTTGAAACTATGGCGCACATGACCCCTACAACCGGTCCTCATAGCCTGGGCACATGGTACGGCATCGCTCCTCCTGGACCACCTTGCACATCCCATGTATCACCAAGTTTCAAGGTCTACCTGACAGAATGCTCATGGGACTTTGTAGGTATTCATGTCTGGGGTTATGACCTTAGTCTTAGATCGGAGTAGCCTATGTAAGTCCGGTTAGAAGGATTATTCGCAAGGTCAGAGGCCCGTTTATATGTACTTACTGAGTCCCGGGAAGCCTCAACTAGCGGTCAGGGTGTAACAGTTTGGGTCTACCAGCTAGGTCTTACATTTAGGAGCAACATTCTTTGCTGCTGCTGCTGCTGCTGCTGCTGCTGCTGTTCCCATTGATTTTTCCATTTCTGCCCTACTCTTATCATGCTCGTAATCTTACCAGTACTGTTACCATGGAATATTCGTGTTGCTGCTGACCTCTCTGCCACTCGTGCAGATCCGTAGGGTTAGCGCATCATCCAAAGTGAGAGCTTGCTTGAAAAGCGATGCTGCTTGGCCACCCACTGGTGAGGCGGCACAGACTACAGCATGTAGGGGTTTCCCAAAATTTGGGGGGTACCTTTAAAGGGATTATAGATGATATATAGATAAACCCCGAAATTGAGGGAGAGAATTTGCACATGACATAGTGTCCAGGGTACAGGTTTCAGGGTGAGGGGTTTAGCTTTGAAGGGTTTTCCACCAGACTTTAGCAGCACAAGCGCGATGGCAAGAATGATGGTCCAGATTCATATGCTAGATTGACAAAGGCACTGGGCCAGAAACATTTACATGCCGTTACGAATGAAAACCTGGCCATGTCCGTGGATAAAGCTAAGAGTTCACCAATCTGTCTCCAAGAATCCCGAAGCAGGCAGCATTGCTGCAGCGTCCACAAGGGCTGCAAGCTGCAAACATTGTCCAAAAACCGAAACTTGTCGGCTCTGAAGTATCAATGTTGGAGCCTTTCCCGTTGGATGGTCTCAAGTTATGGTGGGTTGATGGAAAATCAAATTGAAAAGATGAAAATTAAATGGAGATTGTGAGCATATTATCCTCGCGTGGAAGCCTTGTGGGCTTTTCTGATCCCCTTCCTCAATAATAAAGTTTAGCAGGCAATGAGGGAACCGGTGAAAGGGGCCAGCACAGGAAGGAGCACATGGGACCTGACAAGCGGATCCAGCCCGCATTCCACCAAAGAATGCAAAAGCCCGGGAGTGGCTAGGCTAAACCCCTGCCCACCATCTCGTGGAAATGGTTGAACTGCTCGGGCTTCACGACACCACCGCATAAGCTCGCAGGGATTTTCCTTAGTCTTGATAGTTGTGAGTTGGGAATGAAGCGGCAGAAAAGCAAATGGAAGCTGCAATACCATTAGGGTAAGGGTAATGAAGGGGCGACTGTAGAGATATACACCCCCATTCCCAACTAGCACCTGTTAAGCAATCGCTCTTTGTGATAGGCGGTGATCTTCAATGCTATCTCAGATGTAGCAGGCTTCCCCACAACCAACTTATTTTCTGGGTGCACATCTAGGATGTCACGCGAACCTCGTCTCGCCTTGTTTAGTGTAGCAAGAGAGCACAGGCCTCCACGCCACACGAGCTTTGCCAAGCCTGCCGAGCGTCAAGTGCTCACCCGGCCCCTGCACCATTGCAATGATGCCAAGCTCACCCATGCGCTTGCGCATCTCCTGATGTGCCACATGCATTCACTAGGCATTATTGCCAGCGTCTCCATGGTGACTGCTCTGTAGCCAACTGCATCTCTCCAGCTGCATAGCGCGTGCACGGTCAGACAGAAATCAGATCGTATTACAAATCAAATCTGTTTTCAAACCGACCCCAGCAACTCAGAACAGTGATGATGTGCCGGTCCTTGCTAGGCGGCGTGGACTTCACCTCGCACTCCAGAGCCTCCTTCATAGTCTCCCCGCTAAAGAACTTCCGTGCTTCCAAGCGAAGCTTGACATGAGTCCTGGGTAGAAACTTTGGGTGGAAACCGGCGAGCGACTGCTCCATCTCCCAGGATAGCAAATGCCCAAAAATGAGGACAAGGCAGATACAGTAGAGATATGTAAGGATAGGGAAGAAGCCGAAAAGGCATGACAAAAAGGGAGATCGAAAAGGTCGATCCAAAAGGTCGAGCGGCTCGTCGAAGTAGGGGGACTTGAATCCCTGCATGTAGCTGGGCTCCGCAAAAGGGACCTTGCCTTAGACTTGGAGAACTTCCTCAATACCAGTTCTAGCTAGTCTATAGGGCTGCAACCAACTTTGCATAGAGCTGGCGTCGACATGTATTCTTCAATCCCTCAAAGGAGGCACTGCTTCCAACCCTACACCAATCTCTCAGTCCATGGCTGACCTCAATTAGTCGTGCAGCTGCCTGGAAGCAGGTCGGGCCGCTGTGACACTGTCAGATGCTTCGGGTTTTTGAGGCACTTCGTCGGCTTACAAATCACTGGCCTTTGGTTAGCTGGGAATGAAGGAATGGATCCTTGTAGCACTATGCATATAACCCCATTATGGTAGTTTCCATTTTCCTTCATTCCCAGCTAACCAAAGGCCAGATCAAGGTGGCGGTTTGGGGAAGTCGGTGCTGTCAAAAAGTTAGCGAACATCGGATGGAGCTTAGGGTTTAGTCTGCTCGGCTTGGGGTTCAAGAACTTCTGCTGGTTGTTAGCAGGGAGGAACGGAAAACAAAATGGAAACTACTATAATGGGTTTAGGGTTTAGGGTCTAGGGTTTGGGGTTTCGAAGGAATGGACAAGAAAATGGAAACTACTCTATGTAACTCTTAGTACTACAAGGATCCATTCCTTCATTCCCAGCTAACCAAAGGCCAGTTTAGAGAAAGCAAAGCCAAACAACACAAATCCCAACATCATGACCGGTATACCTGCGGAATCTCAGCGGCAGTCTCCAAACAGTAGTGCTATGGATGACTGCAAACTGGGGTCTCTTTTGGGAAGCCATGGAAGGCAGTAATGAAACAGAGCTTGTCATTATAGGGGTTGGTAGGGATTGTATGAGGTGGCCTCTTGATTGGAGTTGGAGTTGGGAGTCTGTTCCACGATAGAGGGTTTAGGGTCTACGGTATTTACGCGGGAATGACATTGGTAGTTCTTTTCAGGCTTCTACACTAGCAGCATGATGCACACACTAAGCACTCATACTCAGCATACTTTGGCCCAAACAGTTCTTGGTATGTATATATGTTTATGGGTTATTCTGAAACTTATGGGACCCTTTCGGTTATAAATTATGTTACGGCACCTAATATTTAGGGGTAGCAAAATGGGACCCTAATTTTGGGAACCCCTCATATGTCTACTATGACTACTCAAGGAATGTCGCCTGGCCTGGGGCTCTGTCACTACTCAGGAGTTTACCCGAGAAAAACGGTTTAGGGTTTAGGGTTTAGGGTTTAGGGACTCCCTATATGAGCCATAGTCTAAACTCCTAGTATCCCCCTTAATAACCCCTGTAGTAGTCCCCTATATAATCCCCTATATACCCCCCATTAAGGAGTTAGTAGTCCCCCAAATAAGGAGTTTAGACTATGGCTCATAGGCCCTAAGCCCTACTCCGACGGCCTTGGAACCCAGACCTCTCACAGCAAATGACTGGGTTGCTGTTAAGGACCTCAAATTATGTTACCACACTGCATGTAGACAGATATGAGCTATAGTCTAAACTCCTAGCATCCCACTTAATAGCCCCAAAAGTAGTCCCCTATATGATCCCTTACATAACCCCCTTTCAGGAGTTGAGATTGTAGTTCATATAGCAATCGATATGGTTTCCCAAATATAGGTTTCCCCAATATAGCAACTTAAATTAAAAATCCCTTAAATCCCTAATTCCCCCAGTTTCCATTTCATTTTCCATGTTCTTTTCCATTTGATGCTCCATTATAGGGGATAATATAGTAACTTGAATTAAAATCCTTAATCCCTAATTCCCCCAGTTTCCATTTCATTTTCCATTTTCTTTTCCATTTGATTCTCCATTATAGGGGGATAATATAGTAACTTAAATTAAAATCCTTAACAGCAACCCAGATGAGCTCTAGTCTAAACTCCTAGCATCCCCCTTAATAAGCCCTATAGTAAATCCTCTATATATTTCCCTTTAAGGAGTTTAGACTATAGCTCAGATGATCGTGCCAGCCTCCTTAGGTGCTGGTCCGGCATCTGCCACTCGTCCCTTCTTCAATCGCGAATACCTTTGCTGGATCAAGTTGCAACTATGGACGGTTTTGAAGGGATATGCAGGGACGAAATTAAGAATAACAATCTCAATTCTGTTGAAATCCTCTTCTGCTGGAAGCGACTCCAAATCATCTGCCTTCGACTTTCCGATCGCAAGGATGCAACGCTTCGGGCAATTAATTGGCTTTGTCCGTTTTTTTACAGAGAGCCAAGTTGGCAACTGGACAGCAGCACTCGGCCCAAGACTCCACGAGTCATATGGAAGGTATCTACCAACGAAGGCTTCGCAGGAGCACGACATAGCCTATAAGCGGTCACGGGAAGCAGGCCCAAAATGTTGGGAAGCACAACATAAAGGCCCACATGGGACTTTCTCAGACTGACCGCGGAATAATCTTTGAGACCAACCCATACACTCGCCTCGTAAGGTTGTATATTGCTGGGCCTCCGTTCCATGACAGACGCACCCGCACTCCACATTCAGAAAATGAGATCCACAGCATGACATGAGCCATAGTCTAAACTCCTAGTATCCCCCTTAATATCCCCTATAGTGGTCCCCTATATAATTCCCGAGATAATCCCCTTTAAGGAATTTAGACTATAGCTCACATCGGCTTCAGTCCTGGCACTTGTCCAAAACCTCCAGCCGATGGAGTCCAAAGAAGTCCTCCGTCGCGTCCTCACCGCTGCAACCAAGTCAATGTAACAGCACAATAGCAACATCCACAGCAGTAGTAGTAGTAGTCGTCGTCGTCGTAATAATAGTAGTCGTAATAGCAATATTCGTAATAATGGTAATCGCAATAGTCGTAATCGTAATAGTAGTAATCGCAATAGTAGTAATCGCAATAGTAGTAATCGCAGTAGTAGTAGTAGTAGTAGTGGTAGTAGTAGTAGTAGTAATAGGAGAGTAGGAGCACGAGCAGCAGCAGCAGCAGCAGCAGCAGCAAGAGCAGGACATCATTCCTCTTGGTTACTGCAGCTAGCCATCTGCACCTTGACTTGCCTTGGCGCTCCACTGCACAAATGCCACTCAAACGCTTCTTCCGTTCATGTTTGCACCTTGCCCGCGTACTCCAGGAGGAGCTGGGTGCCACCCGGATGAACTGCTGCGAACTTCGTGACGTCATACCTGGCGGAACAATCTATCTGGACACGGTGCCTTCCAACCAGTCCTCTTCCACCCTTTGCTGCCCATCTACACCACAACTGTATAGTTGACAAGCCGAGCAACACGTCTCCATCCACAATGATCCAGGCATCATCAGCCTTGTTGTGCTTGGCAACCTCCTCACGGCTGATGGTGGCCATGCTTGCGACACCAGGGGGAGTTATCCAAAAGGCGTGCTGTGGGCTTCTGCAGGCTTCTGCCAGTGGCTTGAGCAGAAAAGGCAGCAACAACTCAAAATGTCCAAGAGAAACCTCATCAAGAAAACATGAATCACAAGTTCAGCTCAGGGGCTTTCCTGCAAAACTGCCCAGAGATTGACTGTGGGATTGGCCCCCCGGGATGGGCACTAGATTAATGCATTAGTAGCTGACTTGAGATCCTGAAAAACTCTTGAAGGCAGCTCTGGCCGATCCAACCTTTACTAAAACACTTCGCCAGCTACTGGCTCTGCGATCTAGAAAACTGACACTGCTTCAACGCCTCGATCTGCCGCTGGCCACGCGTCAGCAGCGCGTGAATGTGCACGAGAACCTGCAGCATGGAATCAGTTCAGACCCCTGACTCCTAGAATTCTCTGTGCGCAGCAGGCCAAGTTTGTTTTGAAAAACCTTGAATCCCGGAGAGGCTCGCAATGAACCCCAAGTCTGCCCAAGTCCCCGCCGTGTAGGACAGCTCCGTGCTGGCTGCGGCCATCAGCGTAAGCAGCGGGCCCTGGGCAAAGTTCTCACAGATGTTGTGCTGAGGGCTCACACGTATGCAACTTTAGGGCTTACCTGCTTTCCGCCTGCAATTTCAGGAACCAAAGCTCTCATCTGCAGCTGATCCGCCTTCAGTCTTTGCAGCACGTCCTGCTGGAGATCTGGGCGGTTGCTGGTGAGGTCGACGAAGATCTGAGGGATAGCCCGGGTTTGAGGGTTGCAGCATCTTGCAAGGAAAGGCTCCATGGCAGACCACATGCGAACTTTATCTACGAAGAGACCAAAGCAAATCACTTGAAAACCACTCCTTATATAATATGCATATATATATAGATATACATATACATGGATTTTATGGCCTAGGTACACAACGTCTCCCAGCCGAGTCCGCCCGAACCTTGCCTTCGTCACCGACAAGACCACCGCACTGCTGGACTGCTTTAGCAGGCCTTCACAGGTCTGACGTTTATTGGGTCAAGGCTTGGGCAGCTCCCTGTGTGCTGAGCTGAGGACCATCCAGGATGTTCATGATGTCGAACATCTCTGTCTCACCAGCAACAGTGTACCTTCCACAGACATGCAGGCCTCGCCAGGAATGAATGCCAAAACTTGCTTTGGAGGGAGGGGAGACGACAGCCTGCAGACCTTGGCGGCAAAGAAGCCACTGCAGAACAACTATTGCCCCATTAATGGAAAATCACATGAAAAAGAAAAAGGAAAATGAAATTGAAACCGGGTTATGTAGGGGCTTGTGGGGTTTTAGGGTTTCCCAAACTCTGGGTTATATAAGGGATTTATAGGGTTTTAGTGCTTCCCAGACAGCATTTGGGCCCTTGGGGCACTTTGTCAGCAGCCTCAGAATGGCACATTGGCCCCACTCAGAGAAGTGCATGATGCGGTTCAGCAAGGCCGTGATCTGGGCAGTAGTCTAAACTTATTATAGGGTTTAGGGTATAGGGTTTAGGGTATAGCGTTTAGGGTTTAGGGTTTAGGGTTTGGGGGGTTTGAGGTTTTGCGGGTTTAGGGGATTCTGTAGGTGTTTATATTGGGGTGTATTATAGGGCTTGTTTAAGGGGGATGCTAGGAGTTTAGACTATGGTACATCTGGCAGCAAGCGAGGTCAAGCGGGACAAGAAGCGAGCTGAAAGCTCAACTGCCTTTGCAACCTCTCTCCTATCTCCCTCTATGGTCCCTCTTAAGGTGATAGAATATGGCTTTGGGAAAATTATAATAAGATCCCCATAAACCCCATATTCTATCTACTTAAGGGGGACTATAACAGTTTCACACATCTGCCAGCCCCCGAATCCTCAACCCCATGTCCAGGTCCCTGTCAATTTCGTCTGTGGGGTGATATCCGCCCTCGCTGGCCAGCACCTCGCAGATATTCGAGCAGCAAAACTGAGCAATGCGGCCAGCAAGCTTTTTTTGCAATCAGGAAATATGGTGAATAGATGGTCGACATGATAGTAGCAATGACGGCAGCAAGCAGTAGCAGTGGCAGCCATGGCGCCAGTGGCAGCAGCACCACCATAGGAGGTAGCAGCAGGGGTGGTAGCGGTGGTCGTCGTTGTAGGAGAATAGAAATCACTAGTGCTGCTGCAGCTGCTGCTGCTACTCAATACTCATGCTCCTGCTGGCGGTGACAGTACTGGGCTGAATCTCGATACCATGTTGTAGAAGTAGTTTTAGTAGCCACGGCACTTCCAGAAACGACAGTCACAAGGATATAAGTGGGGCACAAGGAAAGATTGATGAAATGTAAAACAACCCTAAACCCTTAGACATACCCTGGCATCATTATATAGTAGTGTCCATTTTCTTTTCCATTATCCCTAATACATCCCCATACAAAACAAGCCAATGAACCGAAATGGCCTCCTCTAAGGCACTGATAGTGTTGGAAACCACGTGCGCGTCACTGTCGTTCACAAGCCTCAGCGCTGTCCAGCCAAGGCAGTGCAAGAAAGTGATTTCTGGCCTTTGGTTAGGTAGGGATGAAGGAAGGGATCCTTAATAGTAGTCCCTATATAACCCATGGTTTAGGGTTTAGGGTTTAGGGTTTAGGGTTCCTGTATAACCCATCATCGTGGCAGACATTTTCTGTTCCATTCCTCCATTCCCAGCTAACCAAGGGCCAAATCAGTGCCGAGGCATCCGCCGCTTGAGCATGGGCAACAGATCAGTCTCTGTGACCTGAGAATTAATGTGGTGTCCATGTTCTTTTTTATTATCCCCCATAAAATCCCCAATATAACCCCACTATAATCCCCCATACAAGCCCGTTTAAAGGAGTTTAGTGGGTGCTGCTGAGAGGAATGCTCGGAACTGGCAGGCCAGTCTTCTACACCAGGAAGTCCCTGATTTTCATACCCTAAACCCTAAACCGTACTTAGCCGCTCTACCGGCTTAAGGTGAATCTGCCAAGATGCGACGGATGGAGAGATGTAGAAAAGCTTCACCACCTGGCAGTTTGTGGAGGGCTGTAAACAAAGTATGCGGCAGCACATGAGCCAGTGTAAAACTCCTAGTATCCTTCTTAACTATTTGATATCCTCTGTAGTAGTCCCCTATATAATCCCTTCCATATAACCCCTTACATATAATCCCTTACATTATAACCCCCCTTTCAGAAGTTCAGAATATATAGCTCCCATGAGACTTGGCAGGACCAACTCATGCCGAAAAGGGCTCCAATCACAGCCGTCTTTCGGACGTAGCCGTTGACGTCCTTCACAATGTTTGGACGTTTCCAAAATTAGGGGTACTTTTTTGGGAGTCCCTATAATGAGGACTATGGTATTTGGGGGTCCATATTGGGGTACCCCTATTTGGGGAAACTACCATTTATGGTTGTGTACTGCAGGGATCTCAATGCATCTGAACCACAACCCAAAACCAGTGCCAATGGCACCAATGCTGGGTTGCTGTTACGGAACTTAAAATAAATTACCATAATGGGTATGTATTATAATAGGTCATGTGGTTTCCCCCATATAATCACTTAAAACAAGTTCCTTCACTGCAACCCAGAATAGCAACATGCTTTCAGCCCGTCATGGTCATCCAACCCTCAAGAAATTATCAAGACGGTCGGCAATGCGCAGCCACTTTCATTTTTGCACCTGGCCAGCTTCCAACTAGCTTGTACGTAGCTCACCAGGGCCGTAGTGCACAGCTCCGGCTCTCAGAGCAGAACACCTAAACCTACGTTAGAACGTGAATGAGGACGTCTTGCTGGGCCTCGAGCACTTTTGCTCCTTCCATGCTTCTGTTCTTCCAGTGCACGGAGCTGCTGGCCGGCAGGCTCATCACGAGCAGGCAGACCATGTCGAATATTGTTGTGGATCAGACGGGCCTCATCGGCTTTCCGAATCATTCGGGCTCCGCATGTGCTGAAACTGGTTCTAGAGAGCGCAAAACATAATGTTGGTCTCTCAGTGACGCTGAACACCGTATCGAGCGAACAGGGCAAGCTGAATCGTTGCAAGGATGATGCCGATGCCATCCTGCAAATAGATGTATGGGTCATCTAGCATAAAGTACGCATAGAAGAACCACAATGTGCAGTTCAGGTTCACGATGCATGTGAAGCCTAAATTAAGGGCGCGCGTACTCCGCTCCCGCACCACTGTACGGATTGCTGCCAGCGGCCCTCCGAACATAAACAGGGTCATCATGTTGCCGGTGAGTCCCAGCAAGTTCAAGGCCACGTCTTGCGGAAGGCCGTAGGCAAGAGCCGAGAAGGCCATAGTGGAGCCCACCTTAAAGATGTGACTCAATAGGAGGTGCCCAGGATCCTGCCAATGGCTATTGTAGACAAACATATAGTACATGCCCAAGCCTGCTGCGCAGAGGTTTGGCGTCCAGACTGCTGGGTTATTCAAGAGGAGGCCGTAGGCTGTCCAGACCATGCCCTGGGAAGCCATGGCGGAATAGGGCAACATTGGCATCTGCCCCACATCACCGGCCTTCCTTATGCGGGGCATCGCCTCGAACATGGGGTTCAGGAAGATTCCCAGCGAGACAAGACCAGGGAGGCCAATGCTGACAGAGCCAACATGGACAAAGTTCTCGAAGATCCATCTGAACTGAGTCTCAGCCAGGGACCCAGGGGCCAAAGAGGGTGAAAGCGACATGCCCAGAGAGGCTGGAACTAACAGCCCCAGCCAGGTTGAACTTGCGGCGCACGGCGTCTCACGTGCTTGAATATTAGTACTATTCCTACACAACCCCAATATAGGAGTGTCCAGCTTCTTTTCCATTATTCCTATATAACCCCAATATTTAGGGAAACTACCTGAGATATCAGTCTTCACCAGCAGCCGCGTGTGCGAGCCCACAGGTTGCAGCTTTGCCGCGCAGAGCCGAGATGGCCAGCCACGGCCGCGGGTCCGACCAAATGGCCGAGGCAGTAAGCGCCGTTGCGCCGCAGCCATCATGATGAGCGTAAGGGGTTAGACCTCTATAGGGATTATATAGGGTTGCAGGGATTATATAGGATTATAGGAATTGTATAGGGTTATAGGCATTATGTAGGGTGTATCCGAACACTATGGCGTTACTAACCACATGGCGACTTTGTCTTTTTGACATTACACATCATTGCCTTGCTTTCGTTCGCAAAAGTCTGACGAAGGTCCCTGCACACAAAAGACAGCGTTGCTTGTTTTAATGGCTGTTGTCACAAGACCTCAAACTCCAGTTCATGCATTTTCCGGTGCTTAATAGGTGAAGTAGACGGGATCCCTGTGCTTTGGGGGACATTCCACAGCATTGCTGTCACAACCCTTCAGTAGAAATCAGTTCCTCATCTATGATAATATAGTAGTTTCCATT